CATAAAAACATGATTGCTTTTACTGTCATAAACCTGGTCACTACATAGCTAACAGTAGAAAACGTATTGCTAAAGAGAACAGAACAAAAGGGCCTGAGCACATAACTCAGAACATATACATAATTTATACACAAATTTAGTTCAGTCCAGAAGGATATCTAAGCTAGTCTGGATACCCAAAACTAAGTAAATGGATTTACTTTTGCATACCTGTCTCCAAGTGAACATGGAAGGCAGCGTTTGGATACTTAATAGTGGATGCTCACACCATATGACTGGTAACAAAAATCTCTTTTCAAAACTAACTTTTGAGAACAAAGGTAAAGTCTATTTTGGCGATAATTTCAGCACAGAAATCTTAGGAAAATGCACTGTAGGTACTGTTCCATCTATTAGTAATGTGCTTCTGGTAAAAGACTTAAAACATAACCTTCTGTCAATTGGGCAACTCTGTGGAAATGAAAACAGAGTTGTTTTTGAACAAGAAAAATGTTTTGTTGAAAATATGATCAGTCACAAACTTATACTAACAGGTAAAAGAAAGGGAAAATTGTTTTCAATTGATCTTGAAGATAAGGATGCTGATGACTCGGTATTTGCACATGTTTTCCCCTTTGTTTCTTGATTGTTTGAGCTTGAATTACCGTGTCTTTGGCCTATTTTATGCTAGGTTGTGTTCCTTTGTCACATTTCAGGTCCTAGCACATAAAGTGAAGCATAGGCGCAAGTTTCAAGTCAATCAGAGATCAATTGGCGATTCGGGAGCAGAAACTCGGGCATGACCTGAAGAATAATTGATTTCTACCTCACTTTAGGGACAGAGAATCATGCAAGCTTGTTATGAAACGAAAGAGGACGAGACTACGAGCGTCTGGGATCAAACGGCGACTGATTCGGAGTCCGGACGAGGGAGAAACGAAGCATTAAACAGAGGCTGAGCAAGCTGCACGGGCAGACCAGGGAGGCGCACGGCCGTGCAACATATAATTCTGGCCGTGCGCTCTCTGCCGAGGCCTTGCACGGGCAAAATCCAGCCTTGCACGGCCGTGCACCTGGCCGTGCAAGATGGCTGAGATCGATTAAGTGAAACGGTGCGTTTTGAGGGTGCACGGCCAGAATGGTGTTGTGCACGGCCGTGCACCTGGCCGTGCAACTCGGGGAAGCCTGTTTTTAAGCCTAATCCAAGCCAAAAGGGAGAGGAGCTGGGTTTTGGATCCCAAACACCCAAGGGACGAACCCTAGAGAGAGAGAGCGACTTGGGAACATTCTTGGAGCTATTTTGGAGGATTTCTTCGCCATTGGAGCTCAGGAATCAAGCTTGGAGATGGAGATTGAAGATCTAGATCAGATTTCTGCAGTCTCTCTCTTCTCTATGGAGTAACTTCCCTTCACTTAGGTTTTGAGGAACCCTAGTTCCATGAGTTAGGATCTTTCTTGTATGAAGTTTTGGATGCTATACTGTTTGATTATAATCGATTGAGGCATGATTTATTGAGTCAATTGGATCTTGATCAAATTCTCTTGATTTCTGCTTTAACCTATGATAGATAGAATCTTATTAGGTTAAGAGAGCTTCCTTGATTGATAGTAGTGAATTGGTTGTGCGAGAGTCAATCAATTCACTGCTTTGTACTGGAATTCATTCCAGTAGTGGAGATCTGTGTGAATCGCCTTAGCAGTCTATCCCGGTGAAGGTTAGTCGCCTGCCGGGTATTCTGTCTGAGAGGGCTTGGTCAGCTTAAGAGATTCCAAGCTAATTTAGGATCTTCCGCAGTTTAATCAACAGTAGATCAACCAAAGGTAATTGCAACTTGGACCTAATTGAGGAGCTAGGGGGAATCATACCTAAGTGAGTTCCCAACTTGTAATTAGTAGAGTAGTCAGTAGAGTAGTTTATCAATCAATCCTTAATCTAGTTTGCTAGATAATGAACTGAAGCTGAGTAATAGTAACTCTAGAGACCCGTGGATTCGATATTTATTACTTGTGCCACTATACTGCAGTCCCTTTCATTGGTTACACTTGGCCATTGTTAGGTGTTGTGTTTTAGCGTGTCAGATGCCTTTAATGAAACTTGCCTGGTGTCAGTTGACAAGAATGATCAATTTGAATGGCATAGGAGATTTGGTCATGTAAGTATTGGAATTCTGTCAAAATTAGTTAATCTAGGTATTGTTAGGGGAATTCCAAAGCTCCTCAGCAAGAAGGAATTTTTCTGTGATGCCTGTGCTAAAGGAAAACACTCCAAAACATCTTTTAAAACTAAAACAGTCATCTCTACATCCAGACCTTTAGAATTACTTCATCTAGATTTGTTTGGTCCTAACAATGTCATGAGTCTAGGAGGTAAGTACTATGCTTTTGTGATAGTGGATGACTACTCAAGGTTCACTTGGGTACTGTTTCTTACCTCGAAAGATGAAGCTTATCAAATTTTTATAAGTTTTGTCAAACGTGTTGAAAATGAAAAACAATCAAAAGAGTGTAGCATAAGAAGTGACCATTGAGGAGATTTTATCTCTGAAAAATTCGAAAGCTTCTGCAATAAAAAGGGAATCTCTCATAATTTTTCTGCCCCTAGAACACCACAACAGAATGGTGTGGTGGAAAGAAAAAACAGGACCCTGATTGACATTGCTCGTACAATGCTGAATGATTATGGCACTTCTAAACAATTTTGGGGAGAAGCTATTAACACTGCTTGTTATGTCACTAACAGAGCACTAATCAGACCTGAACTTAATAAAACTCCCTATGAACTGTGGAAGGATAGAAAACCTAACCTAATTTACTTCCATCCCTTCGGATGCAAGTGCTTCACTTTGAACACGAAGGATCATTTGGGAAAATTTGACTCAAAGTCATATGAGTCAATTTTTCTTGGATATGCTGTTAACAGCAGGGCCTATCGTGTGCATAATAAAAGGACCCTCAAGGTTGACGAGTCCATCAATGTGATATTTGATGAAACCTTGAATGAGTGTGCAGAAAGTGTCAATGATGATGATGACTTAGGACTGGGAAAAGCACATTCAAGTCATGTAATTCCAGAAACTCAGTAAACAGAAGCAGTAATGCCAGATAAGGATAACAATGTGGAAGAAACAGATCACAACCCTCAGGCTTCACCTCATATACTTCATCGACATCCTCCCTCTCTAATCATTGGGAATCTCGGTCGAGGTATGACCACTCGTTCTAAATCTTATGCTGAACATACTGCTTTTGTAGCACAGTTTGAACCTAAGTGTGTTGAGGATGCCATAAAAGATGAATATTGGTCTGCTGCAATGCAAGATGAAATGAATCAGTTTGCTAGAACTCATGTCTGAGACTTGGTACCTCGACCTAAAGACAGAGTAATAATTGGAACTAAATGGATTTTTCGTAATAAAACAGATGATATTGGAACTATAATTAGAAATAAAGCTAGGTTGGTAGCTCAAGGCTACTGTCAGGAAGAAGGGGTTGACTTCGATGAAACTTTTGCTCCTGTAGCTAGGCTATAAGCTATTCGATTGTTATGTGCTTATGCAGCTTCTAGAGGGTTTAAGCTGTATCAAATGGATGTTAAAAGCGCATTTCTAAATGGAGAAATAAACGAAGAAGTGTATGTTTCTCAACCCCCTGGGTTTGAGGATTCTGAACATCCTGAACATGTATTTAAACTAAACAAGGCTTTGTATGGGCTCAAGCAGGCTCCTAGAGCCTGGTATGAGAAACTTAGTACATTTTTAATCGAAAAGGGCTTTCATCGTGGACAGGTTGACAAGACTCTGTTCATTAAAAGGGAAAATGAGCATACCTTGCTAGTTCAAGTTTATGTCGATGACATAATCTTTAGCTTAACCAGGCAAAAATTATGTTCTGATTTTGAAAATGATATGAAAAATGCTTTTGAAATGAGTCTCATGGGGGAATTAACATACTTTCTTGGACTTCAAGTAAAACAAACTTCTCAGGGAATCTTCATAAGTCAGTCGAAATATTTACAAAATATGTTAAAACGTTTTGGTCTCGGCAGCCTGAAGGCAGTCTCCACTCCCATGGGATCCACAGTTAAACTAACTTCTGATGAATCTGGAAAACTAGTGGATAGTAAAAGATTTCGTGGTATGATAGGTTCTCTCCTGTATCTTACCGCGAGTCGCCCAGATATTATGCACAGTGTGTGTGTCTGTGCTCGGTTCCAGAGTAATCCAAAGGAAAGCCACATGTCAGCCATTAAACAAATTTTTCGCTATCTAGTTGGGACACCCTCTCTCGGACTTTGGTATTCTAGCTCCTCAAGCTTAGAATTGATTAGCTATACTGACTCTGATTATGCAGGGTGTGTTGTAGACAGAAAAAGCACCTCTGGTGCTTGTCATTTCCTAGGTTCCTCTATTGTGTCTTGGTTCAGTAAAAAGCAAAACTCAGTAGCTTTATCCACAGTTGAAGCTGAGTATATAGCTGCTGGCTTGTGCTATACTCAAGCCCTATGGATGAAATACCAGCTTGAAGACTATGGTCTTCAACTGGGATCTCTTCCCATCTTGTGTGACAACACAAGTGCTATTAACATGACCAAAAACCCAATACAACACTCTCGCACTAAGCATATAGAGGTCCATTACCATTTCATACGAGAACTAGTTCAAGAGGGTAAAATCCACTTAGAATTTGTGGGAACAGACTATCAATGGGCTGACATCTTTACCAAACCCCTGTCTAGTGATAAATTTTTACCTATTCGTCGAGAACTTGGCATGTTTACTCTAGAAGAAATATCGGAAATCTGCTAGGATTCTGTCTCCTCTCAGTTTCCTTCTTTCTTCATTAGAGCAACTTCCTTTTCTCTCTCTGTCTCGAAAAATCATCAATCATTTGCTGGATACATCTTCATGAATGATTCTCTTGCCCCAAATCTCTCTCACTCAAACTCTATATATCTAGGGTATCGCTGTCCTACACTCCATCATCAAAAAACTCTTTGTTCATTCATACAAATTTCCATTATCATGGCCTTCAACAACGCTCAGCTCTGTCCTGTCGTTGTGTTCAATAATCAAGGCTTTCGTAATGCGATAGTATATTCCAGATATCTTCGCTGCTTTCGCGATCGCCCCATCTATCCCTCTTTCACTATTTCTCCCTCAGCTTTCTTCAAATATGATCTGGATATACCTTCACTCGTTGCTGGACTGGGATGGGAATCATTGACTGAGGATCAACGATTCCTTCATTGTCCTGAGGCAGTCAGACTCTTCTATGTCAACATTCGTCGTGACCGTGGGGCTGAACCCAGCTCCTTCACCACCATGGTTTATGACCATGAAATCACCGTTACACCAGATCTGCTTGCCTCAATTTTATCCCTCCCTCATTCTGGCATTCGAGCAAGCTACGAAAGTGATTTTGCTGAGCATGGGTTTGACTTCTGCATTGCTCTTGATCGCCTAACCCGCGATATTGTCAAGGCCTTCCCAACCAGACTATCAGCTGGTCGTCTTCCCGATGACCTAAAGGTGCTGCACTTCTTTATAACTCAGTGCTTTCTTCCCCGCGACCTCTCAAGTGCTGGTCTTCTTCATTCCTCGAACCTCTGGATACTGGGGAATGCTCGTGCACACCATCCTATCAGCTTTGCCTCCTTAATGTTTGCTTACATGCTTGAATTCAGAGGAGGAGGTTACAGTGGTGATCTACCTTTTGAACCCCTCATCACTCGATACTTACATCGACTCGGCATTGATCTTAGGGACAAGGTGGCAGTTTGCCGAGTCCATGATGATCTTCGCCCCAATCATGTTCTGGAGCGTCTTGATGCTGATGTCGGGCATCGTAAGCTAGTCTATGGCTCAGGGGGAGATTCTGCCTGCCCAGTATTCTCTCGTTCTGAGACTATCTCTGACAGTTTGATTCCAACCCTGACTCAAGCTGCTGTCTCAGCCATAAATGGTGAAGTTAAACGATGAAGGAAAACAGGGAGTGGAAAGATGACTGGTCTTCTTGTATGCAAAGAACGTCTCGAGCTGCTGGAGGTTGATGAGTCAAGGCCTGCTCCAGATAATTTTGATCCAATCTCATCCGACTCTAGCTCTGAATCTGATAATGAGATCTCAGACTATGACTCACCTCCTAGTTATCCTTTCTAGGTCCCTGATGATGTTACTTAGGGGGAGCGTCTAGTGTTCGGGCAAGGGAAGTCTTTTGGATTGAGTCTGTGTCTGTGTCGTGTCAGTCAAGTAATTTGTGTCCAGTTTACCTTCTGAGTGTTTGGCTGTTGATTTGAAACAAGTGGATGTAGTTAAATTGAACGTTTTCAATTAATCAAAATAAAATACCTTTCCTTGCAATTAATAGTTGTTCACTGCATAGAACAGACTGCACCAGGTGTTTGTTGAGTGTGTGCAGAAAAGACGTGGGTGGCAGGAAAGAGCCATTGACTAGCTTAGGGGGAGCATGTTACGTGAAGCTCGTCAATGGGGAAAGAATCAACAAATTAATCAAGGACAAAATAGAAGGATTCAAAGAAGGAAAGCTGGAGCAGATTCTTTGGAGATCAAATCAATTGGCTACAACGTCTACCTTGGAGAAAAGAAGCAATAAAAGGCCAGAGACGAGAGAAGGCAGGACAAGTTTTTCAGGCAAAATCAAAAGCAGAGTGCTGTGACAGTTAGCGAGAGTCTTTAAATGGAAAAACTGGTCAGGCTAATCGGAGAGAATAGCGAGAGAGTAATCAGAGTGATTATTCAGTCATAGACGAGTCAGAGTGATAAGCAGGGAGCTGATCGGAGTTGACTCCATTTGTGTACTGAGAAACTAAGAAAAGAAGTACTAGTAGTTACGTAGGGATTCTCAAGAGGAGAAGTCCCTGCCATGGATTAGTCGATATTGGGATCCTTCTTCTCCCAATATCAGATACCACGTAAAAATCCTTGTCCAGTGTGCATTCTCTGTTCAGTATTTGGTTGTGTGCTCTGTTTTCATTTGTGTTGATCAGGAACAGGGGAACCTTGAAGCAGAGTCAGTGACCTGGGCGGATCAAGGAAGAAGAAGAATCATGCAGACCGAGTTGGAGCATTGTGGGCCAAGCTCCAAGTCAGTCGGTAGTAAGCAGTTGGGCCAAAGCCCATAGTTATATCTAATAGTATTGATAATCTGAGTTTGATTCCTTTTATTGTCAATTAACATTTGTCCTGCAATTAAACTATTCCAAGTAAAAAGGGAATTGAAAGAACACAGATTCTCACTTGCTCTGTCAATTAGTCGATTAGTGTTTTGCAGGATCTGCATCTGATCGGTGAGAAAGAGGGAAGAGGTCTCGTGCTCGACCTACTCACAAAATGCATATGAGAATGCTCCTGAAAATCAACAACAAGTTACTTGCGCTTTGGAAAATCTTTACTTCATTCATGTTCAGAGCAGCCAGGTTCATTGTTGGTGGGAGAGAAGCACAACACCACGAATTGCAATGAATGGAGCAGAGCTATGCTCAATGCCCTTGCTGCAAAGAAGAAGCTTGGTATTATTAATGGTGTCTTGGTTCAGCCTTTAGAGGCAGATCCAAAAAGAGGATCTTGGGTCAGAAACAATGTGATGGTCCTAAGCTGGATTCAACAGTCTATTGATTAAATGATCAGGAAGACAATCTTGTCTAGCAAGGCTGCAGCAAAAGCTTGGAAAAGTTTTTGCAGACAAGGTATGGATTTGGAAATATAGTGAGGGTTGCTGAGTTTGAAGAAGCACTTTCGAACCTGAAGCAAGGTAACTAAACTATCACAAAGTATTATGGCAAAGTCATTGCCCTTAGATATGAACTTGAAACCTTCCATCCCATGATTCCCTGTACTTGCACACCTACCATCCATCTTGATTGTGTCACTATGAAAAGGGTATATGAGTATTAAGAAACGAGTTATATGATTATGTTTCTGAGAGGTTTAAATGATAACTTTTCTGGAGTTAGATGAACACTAAGAGTTGTTCTCAATCCACAAGGGAGAGTGGTTTAATGAACTTTCTTCAAGAAACATGGACATATAGAAGAAAAGTGTTTTCACAAGTATGGCTTCCCATCTAACTTCATTTCTAAAGAGAACTGATAACATCGGATTTGCACATGTTTGCACCCTCGTTTCTTGATCATTTTGGCTTGAGTTTTTGCTTTCTTAGACTATTTTACGCTAGGTTGTGTTCCTTTGTCACATTTCAGGTCCTAGCATGTAAATTGAAGCATAGGCGCAAGTTTCAAGTCAATCAGAGATCATTTGGCAATTCGGGAGAAGAAACACGAGCATGACCTGAGGAATAATGGACTTCTACCTCATATTATGGACAAATAATCATGAAAAGAAAGAGGACGAGACTACGAGCGTCTGGGATCAAACAGCGACTAATTTGGAGTCCGGACAAGGGAGAAACAAAGCATTAAACAGAGGCTGAGCAAGCCACACGGGCAAGCCTAAAACCCCACACGGCCGTGTGACCTGGCCATGTGGCCGTGTGGAAATCATCGAGCCTTCACACGGGCAGCTGGGAAAGTCACACGGCCGTGTGGCTTGGCCGTGTGATCAGAAATTTCTGTTTAAAACCCGATTTTCAGCAAAAGGAAAGGAGAGAGCTGGGTTTTTGGTTCCCAAACACCCAAGGGACGAACCCTAGAGAGAGAGAGAGAACGACTTGGGAACATTCTTGGAGCTATTTTGGAGGATTTCTTCGACATTGGAGCTCGGGAATCAAGCTTGGAGATGGAGATTGAAGATCTAGATCAGATTTCTGCAGTCTCTCTCTTCTCTATGGAGTAACTTCCCTTCACTTAGGTTTTGAGGAACCCTAGTTCCATGTGTTAGGATCTTTCTTGTATGAAGTTTTGGATGCTATATTGTTTGATTATAATCGATTGAGACATGATTTATTGAGTCAATTGAATCTTGATCAAATTCTCTTGATTTCTGCTTTAACCTATGATAGATAGAATCTGATTAGGTTAAGAGAGCTTCCTTGATTGATAGTGGTGAATTGGTTGTGCGAGAGTCAACCAATTCACTGCTTTGTACTGGAATTCATTCCGGTAGTGGAGATCTGTGTGAATCGCCTTAGCAGTCTATCCTGGTGAAGGCTAGTCGCCTGTCGTGTATTCTGTCTGAGAGGGCTTGGTCAGCTTAAGAGATTACAAGCTAATTTAGGATCTTCCGCAGTTTAATCAACAGTAGATCAACCAAAGGTAATTGCAACTTGGACCTAATTGAGGAGCTAGGGGGAATTATACCTAAGTGAGTTCCCAACTTGTAATTAGTAGAGTAGTCAGTAGAGTAGTTTATAAATCAATCCTTAATCTAGTTTGCTAGATAATGAACTGAAGCTGAGTAATAGTAACTCTAGAGACCTGTGGATTCGATATTTATTACTTGTGCCACTATACTGCAGTCCCTTTCATTGGTTACACTTGGCCATTGTTAGGTGTTGTGTTTTAGCGTGTCAAGAACACTTCTGGATATGGTAGGGGTAAAGAATTTGCCAATGCATTGAGTGGACAAGATAAAGAGGAGGTGAAACTGACTAGATCTGATTATGAAAAGCTTATGAGTCTCATGGCCAACCAGAAAGAACCATCTTATTTTGTAAATTTCTCTTATCTATACCTACCGTGAATGTTGTGTCTCACCGCAGTAAAAAAAACATGGATTTTGGACACTGGTTCTTCAAACCATATCGTTTGCTTATTTAATCATCTAGCAAATTACAAGATGGTTAGCAATGTTTTCCTAATATTGCCAACGGGAGAAAAAATTCAGGCAACTTAACAATATGCAATAATTTCTTGATAGTTGAGGATGTTTTATAGGTCCCAAACTTTACCTTCAACCTTGTCTCTATGAGCAGGTTAGCCACTAGAAACTTGTTATCTTTAACCTTTTCCTCTAACCTGTGTTATACAAGATCTGGAGCGGAAGAGAATGATTGGTTCTGCTAGATTATCCAATGGCCTTTACTCCTTAAAAGTATATAGTATACCTAAAATCAACATGCAGCCAGTTCTACCACTTTTGATCTTTGGCATTTTAGACTAGGATATCTACCCCATTCCAAAATTCCACATTTCAACCAAGTTTGTATCTCAATCAAAACTCAAAAAGATATGTCTTGTGTTTTCTGTCACGTTACAAAGCAAAGAAGACTTCCTTTTCGTACAAGTCATATTGTAACTCATTTCCTTTTTGCAACTTAAGTCAGAAGCAAGGCCTAAGTTGATTGCCTTCTGTAACAAAATTGAGATGCAGTTTAACTTACAAATCAAAAGAATCAGGAGTGATCAGGGAAAAGAGTTTCAAATGGAAGAATGCTATTATTCACATGGTATAATACATGAAATGTCATGTGTTGAAAGTCCACAGCAGAACATGCAATTAGAAAGAAAAAAATCAACACATACTTGTTGTTGCCACATCATTGAAATTCCAAGCTGACCTGCTAGCTGGTTTCTGGGGTGATTATGTGAAAGTTTTTGGGAATCGTTTCTTTGCCAGCTGATGACTTGATATTTACACATGTTTTTATCCACCATTCTTATGCCGTTTGAGCCTCATTTCTTGTACCTTAGGCCGATTTCATGCTAGGTTGTTCTCGTTTGTGTTATTTCAGGTCCTAGTACGTGATTGGAGGTTTGGGAGCGAGTTTCGGGTCGATTGGACGAAAGTTGGACGTCTGGCGAGAAGCTGAGGAATCCACACGACCAGACCTAGCAGCCACACGGCCGTGTGGAATCCCATTACGCGGCCAAGCCACACTGGCCGTGTATTGGATCCCTTGTGGCCGTGTGGAAGTTCCAGGGAGCTCACACGGCCAGGCTGAGAATCCACACGGCCGTGCACTTCTGGCCGTGCAGCGTGCGTGAAGCTCATTAGATGGAACGCCGCGTTTCGACACTCACACGTGCAGCCTGAAAAGCCACACGACCGTGTGCCTGGCCGTG